GCGCCCGGCCCCGCCGCCTCGCTCCCCTGCGGAGGGCGCTGCGAGGCTCCCGCTCGGGGCCCGTTGCGCTGTCTTCAGCGTCCCCGCTTGCCGGTACCCGGCTCGCAGACCTTTGCCAATGATTTTATCCGGGGCGTTGCGTTTACGATGTTTCAGTATGTCCTCTCGCCCCCCAAAGCTGTGTTCTGAGGCCTGGGACAAGTGTCGGGTATGTAACGTGTAGAAACGTATTTCTTGGCCACCATTACTTATGCAGGCTCTGGACATCATCTTGTGCTTTCGACAGAATACAAGGAGGGTTGGAAGAAAAATAGCCCCTGGTGAGGAGTTTCTTACACACCCATGGTATAGTAAAAATATTTATGTAGAAGATGAGCAAGTATTTCAATTCCTTCAGGAAAAAAAAGTAACTACCTAAATCTTGTCAATATAGCAGAATAGAAGCTGTGCTAGTTGACACTTGGTAACATTAAACTTCTATTCTTTCATTAAATCGATTCATTTCTTGGAGTGTGACTCAGGAAGTCCAGATGTTTCTTGCAAATTTTATTTTGATGCACGTAAATTGCTCAGATGAGGAATGACTAACAAGGTGCTAATGAAAAGCCATGTAGAAACAAAAAGTTCTTTGGCACTATCAAGTCATGGAAAAACTTACTATGGAGACTTGTGGCTTTTTTTTTTTAAGAATAAATAACTTGGAGTCAAGGAAATATGAGAGAGAAAATACAAATTCATGATGGGGCATGATTTGCCTAATAGCAAAGATGATTTCTGAATTAAGCAGAAATGAAAACACGAAGTGCAGAAAGAGCACAAGCCATGTGGGGACTTGCTCAGGAGCTGGCTAAGAGGGGCACACTCTTACCTGAATTCCAGCAGCGGCTGCCTTCCCTGATGCGGAAGCCATGGCTCTATATGGAGACACTCATGAAGGTTAAGCCAAATAAACGGAAGGTATACAAAAAATATGCAAGTTAAAGTAGGTGAAAGACTTGTATGCATAAAGTGATCCCAAGGGATAAATTAAAACAGACTAAGACCATTTCTGAGAACAGTTGCACAGAAGTTTAATGGGTTTTAACTTCAGCATTGAAAAATCTTTGCTTTTACTCATTGCCTTTTTTTTTTTTTATCCCATAGTGATTTGCAAAGAGATATTTGAACTATCCGTATAGTTGATAGCAATAGGGAGAGAATGAGATGTATTACCAAGAAATAGGGAATTTTAATGAAGCCTGGCTATCAGAGCGCTGGAGAAGGGTAGGCTTAGGAAAAGCAAAGGTTGCGCTTGTTCTTTGACGGACTTCCAAATTAGTGATCCAGATACTGCATTTTCACAGGGATACTGCACTTATCAAAGCAAATCAAAGCTCAGACAAGCTAGATTGCATTTTTTCCTGCTCTTAAAAAAAGGCAAGGTGAGGTTCTTTTGTTATAGAGATGTGCAAAAAATGCATCTGTAACAGTGAGTAACCAGACTCTTCAACATCTCTGACTGGCTGGTGTGAGAACTGAGAGTGGGCTTAGTCTATACATGACTGACAGAGATTATAAGATAAATGACCTTTGACCTATCTTTAATGTGGTCTTATTTGCAACATTTATTGGTCTTGATGTTTATATTAATAATACATTTTAATCTGCCTGTTCCATTGTTACCTTAAAATAATTCAGTATCATATTTCCTAACTGTTCTACCCTTCACGTTTTTATTATTTAATCAAATAGGGGCACTGTCTTACGACTAAGTTGCACAGGTCTGCCTTATGTTTAAGTTCATATTCTGTGATCTCTTTTGAGCTCTTTCTCAAGTCACTTTTATTACAGTAGTAAAAAATTACTATTGAAGTAATGATGTTCCAATTCAGTGAGAGATCACATTTGTCTGCATTTAGTCATATATACTAACTGCATTTCTCCTTCCACCCTCTCCCCATGAGCGACTGTTCTAATGATTAAAATAGTCTATTAGTGATACTTATATTAGGGTATCAGTAGCAATTCAAGACATATAAACAAATGCCAGTCATTGTTTTTAATCTGTGACTGTTTATCATTATCGTTTCTAATAATACAGTATACATTCTTCAGTGTCACAGAACAAGATTATTCTAGAAAAGCCAGTAAGCTCAGACTGCAGAACTACAGAAGCAAACAAATCCACATGCCCTACCATGTATAATGTTTCAAGCTGCTTCATTTATGAAGTAAGACTCATTAACTGGGCAATGTACGGTAGCTTTCTCTTTAATTACACAGTTTTATTATACAGTGGAATTATTTTTCAGAATGCAACTGTTTTCGCAGACTGACCTTTTATTATAAGAGAAGTTTCTGTCTAATGAAGAGAGGTAATTACAGCACAAAACAGACTTTTGACATAAAGAAAGCTATTGTTACCAGGACTTTTCTAGTGTAGAACGTTATTTAAAAGAGAAACTTAATTTACATACTTCAAAAATTACAGAGTTGCGTATAACTAGCAGTGATGTTGAGAGACACAGTACAAAAAGCAGCACTTGCAACTATCCTCAAATTACTCTGTAGTTCCTGCAGTAGATTGCATACTGTATGTTGGACTTGGCAGAAAGGGTCTGTGATAAGGAAATGAATGTCTGGAGAGGAGTCACTTTCTGACCTTCTATCCAGTGCTTTATAGTTTTGTTCCTTTATTAGGATGGATATTTTTTTTTTCTTTATTAGGATGTGCGACCACTTTCCACCCAGCACTGAGATCAGCCCTGACCTTTGCGTGCCTAAATACGAGGGAGAATTTTGCTTGAAATCTGAAGCATCATAATTGTGAGGGGCATTTGTTCTGACCACCACATCTAAGAGTTCACTCAGCAGGATTTAAGTGTGATAAATGCCCTTGCCCCAGGTGGCTGATTTTTGCAGTAGACTTAAGCATGGTGGTAGAATTTGCAGTAGAGTTTGCTAGTTATTCCAGCTTTGAATCCTTTCACTGTACTTTGTAAGCATTACTCTCTGACAGAGGTGTCTTATTTTAATAAGAAATCTATAAGATTTGGAATATTTAAATTATTTCATTTACTTGAATAGGCTATATGCGTTCTCCCACACTGAGAGCCTGAACTCCTTCAGGTCAATACTGGAGAAGAGCTTAATCATTCCATGCTAGGACAAAAGATTTAGAGGAAGAAATATGCTCTTTTTTTCTTTCCTTCCCACCCTGCAAAAAGAAACAGCAACTGACTGTTAGTCCTTTTATTTTCTTTTTGGAAACATCAGAAGGAGCAGATTTTGTTTGCAGTGTGTTAGCAAAGGGAAAATGTTGTGAAAGTTTTTGAGCAGAAGATTTGGCATTGCAGAATCTCAACAGCCATCTTCAGAGCTATCTTTAGGATCTGTCTCCTTAAGAGCTCGTCCTCTCTAGGAGGAGGATGAACTGCAGTGATTGACTATTCCTGCAATGTGAATAGGAGACAGTTGAAGTAACAGTCGGGACACAGGTGGCAGGCAGCGCAGTCTCCCAGACAGTCACAGAAACTCTTTGTTAAATGCAAATACAACCTTTGATACAAACTGGAGGTTTTTCTTTGGTTATCCCACAAGCAAAAAATGAGGATGAATTTAGTGACAGAATTCTTCTTCGGTACATTCTAGTACACACCCATGTATTTGCAGTGCAAAACTTGTTAAACTCTTTTCCAAGAGCAGTTCAGTTCATGTGTTTAAAAGATACTGTCCATCAGAAAGCATGTCAAAGGAAACCACTTCGTTAGGATGAGGTACATGCGATGCAACCCAATAAAGATGATACCTGAAGCTTCTTAGAGTACTGCCTTCCCTTCCTGCCTTTCTTATTTTTCACACCTTTGCATATATGATGAGAAGCAGAGAAAAATACACCAAATCCTTTTATTTACTATTCCTAACTTGAGAAGCTTGTATTTGTAACCATTTGCAGGGCTGGGTCATATCATGGTTTATATTCTTGCTCTCCTGTTTTCACCTAGAGAACCAGGAAGGTAAGAGGGAAAAGCATCCCAATGCTCCTTCTGCGTATTTTGAGTATAAGTCCAAATAATATTTATAGCCAAGTTATGGGCTTCTTAGACTGCCCATATTGTGTTGCTAATGATTGTCCCATTACGAGTTCTTAATGCAGTTTCTTTATGGCTAAAATCATGTTTCATGATGTTGAGGGAAAAGATGGCAATTTAGTTTTTTAAATGTTGTTATTATATGGCATTTTACTCTTCTAAATGTTATTTTTCTTCAACTGAAGGTATTATAGTTATTCTCAAGTATAAACATTGCCAGTTGTTCTTAAAACTCTGAAAGGCTTTGCATTTGGTAATTAAATGAACTGCTTGAGTTAGTATTGTACTTTTCAGCCTTTCATATTTAATTAACATGCAAGTGGGAATTATGAACAATTTATATCTGTCAGGAAAAGACAAGACGTAACAAATTGTCTCCGTGCAGATGTGAAATTGAGGCAACCTTAGAGAGACTAAAGAAACTGGAGCGTGATCTGAGCTTTAAAGAGCAGGAACTAAAGGAACGGGAGCGGCGTTTGAGGATGTGGGAGCAGAAGTTAACCGAGCAGTCCAATACTCCTGTAAGTAGACAATAATTCAACCTTTCATCTTACTTCAGAAAGTATTCGGAGCCTTGTCTATGTAAATTTAAAGACACCAAGGAAATAGTGCCCCTGTTTTCTTTAGTGCCTTTGGGCCAATTGAAGTCTGTTTTATTACATCATTGCAAATAACTTTACTGTTTTTAAAAAAATTCATCTAATACTTTAGATATCACAAATTGCCCATAGTTCATATTGTGCCATGGGCATTTAAGTATTTTCCCATTGATTTAATTACAGTTCTCAGCTTTAAAAGTTGATTGCATTCAACAAATTCATTTTTCAACTAGAAAGTTGTTGACTTTAATGGATTCATGATTTGGTCTTAAATGTAAGAATCATTTGTTTCTTGGAGAAGGCTTAGGAAACCTATGTAGATTTTTTTTATTCTGTTCTTTTTCTTTGAGAAGAGGCAAATTTCCATTCTGTGAAAAAGGTGGTCAAAATTTGAAGTGTTAATTTAGGGCTTTGTTCATAATTACAGTTAACATACTTGTACCGGCCAGTTATTAGCTGTTAGAATTGCCACATTTCTATTAATAAATTGAACAAAAAAAGTTCTTGGATTATCTTGAATTTCTTAACGAAATATGATGCTCTTGACTACTGATTGGCAGAGGGAGGACCACAGGGTTAGTGTGTGTGGCTAGACGTGTTACAACAGTGTTGTTAAGAAAAATACATTACCTACTTCTTTTTAAAGCACTAGCCAAAACAAATAGCAAATTGAGATTGCAGTAGCATATGATTTTCTTATGCACAATTTTATTCTACTTATAACCTTGATTCCAGCCAGACCCATTTACATACAACTTGTTTTTAAGGCATAGCTTATTGCTGTTGTTTGAATGAAGTTGCATTCATGTTCCAGCTGTGAACATGCAGTAATGAAATCATGAAGAATGAATGTTTTCCTATGTGCAGATACTGTATGTTCTCAGTAGATATCTGTATGCCTGCTTTAACGCTTGCAAACTTCCAGTAACTGAGCTGTGGGCCATCATCTATCCTGAGCACAGCATGAGACACAGCCTTAATGAGCAAATCTTTTCACAAGCAAGGCCCTGGGGTTTTTTTTACGCTGTACTTGCTTATGACTTCTACTTTTCACTTAGAGCTGGCATTGCTGAAAGAAGAAAGCATTGTGCTAAGGTCTATTGTGCTAAGCATGAACTATCTTTCTGCATAACATTTAACCCAACTCTCCTATTGCATTTAAATGCAATTTCTCCTAATAGAGAAATACAAGTTTGTTTTTTCCATAGATCTTTAGTGAACTGTTAACATGGAATGGCTTTTTTGCGGAAAAAAATTGACATACTGGCAAAAATTGCCTTGTTGAAGCAGGATTGGTTTTTTTCATAGCAAATGAAGTTCTACAAGACGCTGGTTACAAATACAACTATATTTTAAATTCATAGCTGTAAACCATTTGCAAAATATCCTTGGGCGTTCTGTTTGCAAGCTGTAATCCTTGAAGTCAAGTGTCTCCCTGTCTCCCTGTCTCCCTCCCTTCCTTTGGTTCAGGGTATGTCTGCTCAGCAGTGTCAAACTGGAGTATTGCAACAGGGAGGTGCACTGCTCAATTTTAAGCTACCTTGGCTGTGAAGACAGTAGTAAAGATATGGCAACCAGAGCTAATAACACAGCTTAGGGTGCCCACTAGGCTTAAACCTGGTTCTTAACCAACACTAGGCCTTGTTGTATCTTAGCTGGTACTGTCATCCCTGCTGTACAGTCTGCAGTCACTTCATTTTGCTCTGCAGCAATGACCAGAGGCCAGCAGATACTATTAAAGTGGTGTGCAGGAGGAGAAACACAAACCAAATGAAAGGAGAACAGGGAAGCTGTCTCTCTGCCACTTGTTTCTCCAGTGTTTTAGGGTTGGTAGAAGCTTCATCCAGCCATCCTGCATGGCAGTTAGCTATGAGTGGCAGACTGCTCCTACTCCAAAGAATAAAGTGTAGATTCACACACATCAGCATGAGGTAAGGATGAGGACAATCTTTAGAAACACTCATATGAAAGTAGTGTTTCTTCCTGCTCTTGTTTTGACCATGTTTCTGCTGTATCTTGTACAACAGACACCTTTGAGTCTGATCTCTGCAAATTCCCTTTGTGTAGATCTCCAAGAGCCTCTTGCACAAGGGAATCTGGAGCCTTTTGGAGGAGTAGGATACATCCACAGCTGTAGTGAAATGGGAGACTTCTTTTGAAGGAGGACCTACTTTAAAAAGGGACTGTATGTAGCTAAGCTGACGCTTATATTTAGTGGAAGGCAGTGAGCAAGACATGAAATCCAGGTGTTCACTAATGGTGAACATTCACCTGCAGGTGGTCATTTAAGGAGAACAGTTTGTACAGAGATTGGGGATCCCGGCTATCTATAAAAGTCTCTTCATAATAGTTAGCATATGTAGTGCAACACCCAAGGCAGGTCCTGTTGCAAAGAGCTCCTCAGTTCTCCAGATAACGAGATGTCAAAATATGGAGGAAGTAAGGTGATTGTAACTTGCAAAATAAGCCACAATTATGGCCCATTCACAGCTTACCCACTACCAGGCATTGCACAAACACTGACCAAGAAATGTGTTTTAGAGGAAAGTTGTTTTGCAGTTTTGTTGATTTTTATAGGGAGTTCTTCCCATATGTCAGGGGATGCTTCCCCGTGGAACTAAAGTGACTAAAACTCCGATAGCTGATGGAGGAACTACTTGGCACTGAATCATGTGTGCTGGGCATCTTGTTTCTGTGCCTAGATCTGTTTTTTAAAATATTCCTTCTCTTTATCAGTAGGAGCTTTCAGTGTCCTTGATCCGAGTAGCGCTCTGGTGATGGTGTAATTGTTTTTTTCTGAACAGCCAGGTGTATAGAAGTTTAGCTGCAGGTTCTTTCATCACTTAGCCACAGGACGCATGAAGAGTATTTAAGGCGCCCCATTTCCCCAACTTCTTAATTTTATTTTCATTTCTTAAACCATGATCACTAACTTTTGTTAACCACAACGCACATAGAAAGCCTATATAAGTAGGGAAAACTCAAGAGGAACAGAAGACAGATACTGTCCTTTTTAATGATAGGCAATTTGTCAATGTAATGTTCATTTGCCAAGAAATGGGCACTCTTTGAGTAGCCTCTCCATGAAGCCTCCTGTGTTACAGACCAGGGCATCACCATGGTCACCTCTGTAACCCATTCAGTCAGTTTTCTGATTAGGTTAAAAAAGATGTGGAGAACCATGAATTTTGGGCAGGTAGTTTTGCAGACAGCTTTGGAAAGAAAGGCCACCTCAGGTGTTCACACGCACAAGCTCCTTTGCTGTTGCTTTAGTAGGTAGGTTAATTTGGGATGAAAATCCCGACTTTTAATTCCCTGTGGAGAACAGGCAAGCATGTCACAGAGGTTACTAGTCTGGCCACTCTGAAGAGTCATTAATTGTTATTTAGCTGGAGAGGGCATGTTTCATTTGTTAATACAAACAGATTGGATCAGGAAGACGCCAGTATCTTTAGGTGAAGATTAAATCAGTAGAGATTTAATACAAGGTACAACCAAATCGCAGTATCTATCGATATCACACACACACACACACACACACACAAAAGACAACACCGCTCAAGAAGA